GTCCTTTCCAACCTTAGTGATTCTGTGAATGAGGCAGGCACTCTGCAAAATTCACTTGTGATATATATGGGTTACTGAAAGATGTGCTATTTTATTTTCCCTTTTAAGTAACTTCAAAATATTTGAATATTATCAATATCAGCTGCAGGGACCTAGAAATACAATGTATGAATTGAAAGAAGAACCTTACTGAATGACAACTGTGTTTTGAATAAGCCTGTCAATGAAGAGTCTCCTGCAAGCATAGGAAATGAGTCCTCTGCAGTAATACCTGGTTTTAATATTAATTGAAATTATTAATTAGAACCATCGATTGTAAGGTCAACAGAGCGATAAAACCATTACAGAGTCCTGAGGCCTTCTGCCCAAAGCAAATGCCATTAGTAAGTCCAGCAATAATTCATCTACGTATGGATTGTTCATCCTCTTGTGATTTGAGTAAGTGGTAGGGAAAAAAGATAGTTAGTACAATTTCCTCAGTGATTTCTTGGAAGCTTTTAACACCTTCTCATGCTCAGCCACAGCATATGGCTACCTGGCGATGCAGCTTCTGCCTCGCACACCCATCCTAGTGACTGCGGTAGGGGCCATCCTACAAATAGGTGCTGCTGCCCGTGGCTGCAGGCTGCAGAATCACACCCTAACACTGTGCACTTCCTAGAGGGGGTACGGGTGGAAATTTTGTCATCTTCAGCTCAAAGGATAAAATCTGTTCCAGGAGGGAGAAACGGGGCCTCTTTTTTCAGTTTGGGGCTTTCCTCTTTGTCCAAGCAATCGTGTCCAAAATGGCTAAAAGTTACAGACCTGGTTTTCTGTCTACTTGTAGCCCACAGTTGTCTCTTCTCCCAAGTAACTAGCAATAGGATGAGAGAAAATGGCCTCAAGTTGTGCCAGGGGAGGTTTAGACTGGATATCAGGAAAAATTTCTTTTCTGAGAGAGTGGTCAAACATCGGAACAGGCTGCCCAGGGAGGTGGTGGAGTCACCATCACTGGAAGTATTCAAAAAACATGTGGACATGGCACTTCAGGACATGCTTTATTGGGCATGGTGGTGTTGGGTTGATGGCTGGACTTGATGATCTTAAAGGTTTTTTCCAAACTTAATGATTCTGTGATTCTCAGCTGTTGGGGTATCTGTGATGCAAGGCAGTTCGCAGTGGGTTGTATGGACAGCATCACTGGAGTTTCTGGGAAGGGAGCGTTATCTGGTTCTCTCTCACTGGGGTGTGAGAATGGGGCTGAAGTGCCATAAGTGGCACAGTAAAATAACTTGAATGAAGAGACCATGCCCATGACAAACTTCTGCTCCTCCACCTTTGCGCTAAGGCTAAGGAGGAAGAAACGGGTGGAAGCAGCTCAGTGAAATAGTGCAGGGATTGCCTTGGTCGGTCCCACAGAGCGTGTTGCCCCTGTCTTAAAGTTGCTGAATCCAAAATGGGGCTTATGGGTCCTTTTCTCCCACAGCTGTAAAAAATACTCCTGAGAGGAATGCCTCATGCACCAGGGAATTAGCCTGTATCTCAATGTAATTGTCCTTTTCTCGCTTTGATAGTTGATTCTGAAGCCAGAGCTGACATGGAAAAAAACACCGCCACATTGTATAAAACAGTTTGGCTTGTTTGTGCCTTTTATAAATGCTTGCCCATCTTGCTGTTCTTTCTGCTTGGCATCGTAACTCTGTCGCAATGTATTGTTGTTTTCCGTGTTTTCCATGCTCGCTGCAGTGGTGCTAGTACCACAAATCAAACATTTTTGTTTGCCGTTTTCACAACGCTCCTGTAACGCTGGTTCCCCAGGATTTATTCTGATGTGCTTGAACAGCACCTTCTTCCCAGCTCTTGCAGTTTCATCAGCCATCTCGTGCTACTTGATGGCTCTTTTCAGGCCCTAGTTTCTGGATTCAAGTGATTTTTGTGTGTGTTTGTAATACTATCAGCCTACACTAAGAAGAAGAAACTTTTTAACCCTCTTAGCTGCAGAGAGCCTACTCAGGCATAACCAGACTGAAAAACTGAGCCATAAAAAAATCCAGACTTAAAAACCCTGGAGTTCAACTGAAAGATTCTCACATGCATAATTTTTTTAATATCATAAAAATCTCATAAATTTTTTAAGCCAATCTTCTGAATTTTGTGTGGTTGATGAATGTTTCATGAAGGTCTGGGAGCGGCGTTATTAAGTGTTAATGAGAATCAAGCCTTGATGAACTTAGAGCATTTCTCCCAAGAAGACGAGAGGCTGCGAGGGAGAAAGCTCTGGCACAAAAAGCGGGGCCCAGCCTTCCCACTTTCTGACTGCGCTTAATGCAAACACTTTGTTGCAGAAATCATCCCAGACTCTGAGGCATGCAGGGTCAGGATGATAGGTGCCAAAAAAGCAATGCAACCATGATAAAAATGCTAAAAGTGCTCACTGTTGCTGAGGGTGAATGTTTTGACCTGGGACACTGCTAAGCCAGTTTAAAACAGCCCTTCCATGCTTTAAAGATCGGGTTTATGATCAGTAAATAAAATGAAGAAAACTGACGTATGTGCATGCAAAGCCACATTCCTTGGCTAAAAATTAAAATCAGAGGAAAAGAAATTAATACAAAAAGCTTTGAAAATATGCTTGTTTATGTCTTGGTGACACAGATGCTTTCTCAAAAAGTTGCTCTTCATTTTAGTTAATTCTGACGGTCTCTACACTTTTCCTGACACCGCAGGATAATGATGTCCAATTCACATAAATATATATATCCAAAATGTCCAAACTTAAGGACTTTTTAAAAACGTCTTTCTGTGTTTTATCACATGCTATCGTTTCTGCTGGCTGACCTTTATCATGTAAATGTGAAAGCACTTAACCATGGCAAACCATGTGCTTTCATCAAGTCATACTCTTACAATGTGATTAATTCCAGCTCTCCAGTTCTGAAATAGGAGGTGAGAAAGGAATCCACACATTTAAGCAGCTACTGAGCAAAAGCTGCCAGCAGGTACACCCTTTAAATCCAGAGAAAGCCCTGGAAACTCTGGGATTTGCAGCACTTGAGGAGAGGAGAGTCTATAGCTGGGAACGAACTGACCTCTTTTTTCGATGTTGATTCAGCTCCCAAGCAGGAGGTCTGCCTTGGTGGATCCAGGCCTTCCTTGGCGGAGACTCAGATGTCTGATTTCGCTTTTGAGCATCATCAGGAGGCTGTGGAGTTTGTCACTGTAGGGCTGTGCCACTCCACAGAAGAGGAAGAATTGAAAAAAGCGTCTTTGGTGCTAGAGGCTTTCCTGACACCGCTCTGCACTGTGCTTGCCTCTGCTGTTAATGGCCTTCTCCATAAATACACCCAGCAGCAAAGCTGTTAGATGGGGAGGAAGACTGTGATAACCTGTGCTAGCGAGCATGCAGGCAGTGGGCACGTGCTGTCTGGCTGGAGGGAAGTGGAAACCTTGTTAAGTTGCTATTTGATCCAAACAAGACACCTTAGTTTTGTTTCGGGACCGGGCTGCCCGTAGCTCAGGCTAGACAGAGACCAGCCAGTGGGACACTTTCCATAGGCAGGGTGTTCCCAAAGAAAAGATCTGTATTTTCCAGAAATGCTAAGCACCAGCAAACCTCTTTGAAATCTATGCAAAATTGTAAGGGCTCAGCATATCTGGGAATCAGTGCAGTGGCATGTCCCATCAATCCCAGTGAGCTACATCTGACACATTGACAACGCCTGTTTTTAATCTGAATCTGTCAGATTTTCCCCACTCTTTCATTGCCCCCATCCTCCTCCCGCTTCTCTCATCCCCCTGCGTGAGCTCCCCATCCTCCAGCCATTGCACATGCCGAGCTTTCGTTCCTTGTGTTTTCCCTGCTGCTTAGGGAATGAACAGCAGAGCTCTGGAGGGGAAAAGTTAGTCAGCAAGATGCTCATTAAACAAATAAATGAAAATATATCTGCTCCCAGATGACAGCTATTTCTCAGCAGAACTGACATGACCCCTTTTGCTGTGTGTTTCCCAGCTGGGTGCATGCCCAGCTGGAGCTCACTGATGTTGCACAGGAGCCACCTTTTCCAGCTGTTATTTTTGTTTCACAGGTAGCTCCAGTTGCAAATGTATGGGGGAAGCTGTCTGTATTGCTCTGGGGTACCAGACGGCAGCTATATTGCATCCATGCCATGGGCTAAAATTTTGGTCTGCTATAAGGCGGGGTGGGTTGTCGCCCCAAGCTCCCCATGCAGCGAGAGACTTGTCACAAAATGCAGGTATGCGGCAAATGGTGCTGACACCCATTCTGCCACAGCTAAGAAACCTGCTTCTCTTTTAAGGAACGGCTTAAGGAAGCGGAGGAGGTCTACAAGGCTGGCATAGAGAATTGTCCAGAGAGCTCCGATCTGCATAACAACTACGGTGTTTTCTTGGTTGATACCGGTAAGTGAGAAGGAGCAAGGGATTTTCCCTCTCTGCCTCATTTGCTTTGATTTGTTTCATTCAGCAGTACGCATCTAAAAGGGTGTCAAAAGCTTCCAAAGCAATAGATGTGCCTCGACTGTAACTTGGAAATAAATATCCCTGTGCTGCTGAGACGGCGCAGTGTACTGAAATTTGTCATCAATGCAGGCACTGTGTGGCAGTGGCATTCAGCCCGGCTGTTTCCTTCAGTGTTTCTCACCATCTTTGCACAGGCAGTTGTCCTCTTCAGTTTGGGCTGGGCAGCACCCTGACAACACTGCCATTTCTCCAGGAAAGCATGGCCACATCAAACCAAATCCCAGGCACACAAGGATTGTTATGGTTTTTGGAGCACTTGCAGCTCTACTTGGTGACAAAGCAGCTCTTTGACTCTAAAGGTTGAGTGCCACCGCTATAAAAACAAACATGGCTTTTAAACCACAATCATCTGTGAAAAGAAAACCTAAGATACTGGGGGGTCAATTGATTTCTCAGGAGCTCCGTAATGATATCCAAAGCCTTTATTTTCTGGGCTCCTGGTTGCTATCCAACTTCCTTGGACTCAGGGACTTCCTGGCATCCACATAACAACATCAACAAAAAAAAGGCGCTGTAATTGCCGCCTTTTACTGACAACTTTATAAGCAAGGCCAAGTTTGACAAATGACTAGTGGAAACCAAACTACTGTCTCACTCTGGTCTCTCCAGAACAGAGCTGAGATTCACTGGTGGAATACTGCAGGCTTAAAGTTTGTGGTTGCTACCCATTCTGTCCCTTTCTTACTGTGCCTGGCTCAGGTGGTGCTTGGGAAGAAAGGACGATGGTGTCTGTCAGTCTGCAGCTGGCTGTCCTACCTCTGAGCTGATGCTCAGCCATCGCTCTTCTGTAGTACCAATGTGAAATAAATACAAAGCCAAAATGCATGTTCGTAATCAAAAAAGGCATCATGGCAGTAGCAACAGAGGTTGAGGTTCTGAATTTGTGCCCTGGCAAAATTCAATCCTTCAAATAATAAAAATTCCTCAGTAATTTCACTCCGATGTTGTACTTATCTTTGCTTCCCAACCCAGATAAACTGCCCTATTCCTGCCAAAGATTGTGGTTCAAACGCCATGCAGTGCACTTTCTATTTTTTGCGCCTGTGTGTTCTGCCAAAGTCAAAACTAACTTTTCCCGGTTTACTCCTACACTTCGCTACACACAAAGAACAGGAAAAAACCCAATGACTTTTGATACTTCAGGCATGATGTGTAAATAACACCCCTGAAGACATGACAAGGCGTGAAGGAAGTGGCTGGTAGCTAGCCTGTCACAAGGCTGTGCTCCTCACCAGCGGGCACCGGGAGATGCTGTGAAGCACCATGCCAATTAACTTGCAGGATTTTGTGCAACAAGCCTCCAGCAAGCGTCAGCTCTGGGGAGCTGTGACTCTAGACAGCTCTGCAGTGGTCACAGACACTCAATGTGTCTCCCTTAACGATGCGCAGTAGCCCTGTGTGTTGAGCAGGGGAGGCACCGGCTGACTCACGGACTGAAGTGCATGCCCAGCTGCTTCCCAGGATGTTTTGTAGATAATAACTTTCAAAAACAGTTCTTCTCAGCAGTGGGAGAAGATTGAGGCTGCTGCTGGATGCTTTGGAGAAGCCCTACCCTGAAAGATATGTCCTTGGCCTTGGATGAATCTTAAGTGCTTCCAGATCTCCCTACAGATGCCCCTCCTCTGTCCCGTAGAGGAGACGCCAAGAAGTGTCAATGTTACTTTTATATTACATAGATAGTCTCAGGAAAACAAAACTAGATCTGAAAAACTATGAAAATAAAATTCCCACATATGTTCAGTGCTCCAGCACATTCAGGCTGTTTTCAAGTTCTGCTTTCCAGCTAGAAATGGAATTAAATACATCGTGCAGTGATTTAGCTTAAAAAAAGCCAATACTCAAAAGCTTTGTTGGTGGATAAAGCCCCGTGAGTATCGGTTTTCATCAGGAGATTATCTGGTCTAGAATGCACAAACCAATTAAACGAGCACTGGTGTTAAAAATACGATATGCGCATTCCTGAAATGCTAGAACTTTATACTGTGCCCCACTAATTTATTTAGTACCTAGTCAGCAGGCCTGAGGAAAGTGCTGCAAGATCCTTCTTGAGGAAAGACATTATTTAGCTAAATATAGATATACTATTAGGAATAGAACTTTAGGCTTTTGGGCTAGTGGTCTCGCACTTTTCTTTTTTGCATGGTGTTGTATTTTGCTGTGGTGCTCAGTGATGTCATGGACTGCGGGGCCTTGCACCAGTAGACGCTTCCACACAGCGAAGCAGTGCCACCCAATGGCTCCTCTGTGACACGAAGATGGTGCCTATGTGCTCCAAAATAGGCACCTAGGCACCTCTGGTCTGGGATTTATTGCCCCAGGGTGGGAATTAGCTGGTCACCAGCAGCTACGTCCATTGCTGTTGAGCGATGCACAGAGACTGAGCAGGGCCAACGCAACAGGGGTGGAGGTAAAGACCTGAAACTATCTGCAGCTCTGGTGGGGCTGTGGGGAACACCGAGTGGCTTGTTCTCCGTGTCTCCATCACCCATCTCTCCAGTGGGCCAGGGTGGAAGGATGCTGTCTGGGAGATGGGACATGCACCCCAGCACCCTTTCTGGGGTGGGCTCTGTCCTTGGCGCAGGGGGTGTGCGCCTCCCCCCCCCCCACATGA